TAAAAACTTTAAGAGCAGTAGCTGAGCCGAGAGTTCAGATAGTTTGAATTAATCATAAGGACAGTCAATAGCGGCCCGTGTCAAAGCACTTTGACGTTGACATTGAGTAGCAAGTGACGAGGAAGCGCTCTTCACTAAACGTGAGACGTAACGTGCATTGCAATGAGCCTACAGACGTGCACACGACTGCCCACACTGCCCACACTGCCCACCCTCCAGCACTTGTCATTAAATTCATATACGTACCTTGTCCTTGAATTAATATGCAAAGTGGGTGTAACAATACAACAATGCAATAACCTATTGTTTACACTGGCACGTCTTGTGCCTCGCTTACAAAACTGCTAAAAATAAGTACTATCTCGTATAATTTTCAATATGTTTATTATTAAAGTATCACAACAGTGTTACGAGTCCAATCGATTGGTAATATAATAGAGAATATGTAAGTTAGGCAACAATAGTAACCGGTCGTCGGTCGCCGGTCACCAAGCAAACCACCCTGCGCTGAGTCACCGGCCGCGCCAGCGACGGGTTAGATAATCTCTCGATGTTATATGACACGTGGCCTGCCAATACCAGCCAGAGATACTACCTACAAACACTGATTAAATACGCTACGGTGAAAGTTTTATGTTCAATGTTGATGGATGTAGTTATTTGAAGTGAACATTATTATGATACAAAGCAGTAAAGAACTAAAATACCAAAGTTTTATTATAAAATTACACTTTTAATAACTTGTACCTATTTCAGGTCGCTTCGCTTGGCTGTGTCTGGGGTTGTGGGCGATAGCGGCGGCGGGGGCGCAGGGCGCAGCGCCCGCCGGCCCCTCCGCGCGCCCCGAGGCCTACTTCAACGGCAGCTCCTACATCCGCCTGGCGCGCCCCGTCTCCCTCAAGCAGCTCGTCGGCCTCAGCTTCCGCACATGCGTCGGTGAGTCGAGACTACATACAGCACCGAGTCTACTATAAATTCTAATTATATTAATACGCAATCCACCGTAACGTAAAATGCCGTCGATTACACGCTCAATGTATTTTCTGCGTTTGAATCACCACTAAATGATTATTATTCATGATGAATGATTGAGTCGCATTCGCGAGACATTCCGAGCGTCCGCAGGCCGACGACACACCAGTCACTCGGTCACTCTTCAGTGAAGAATTGTTATTTTATTTAACGATTCATTTACACCGTTATAATTAAACCTTTATATCAAACGAGTTACAAGCTACTTGCATAGATGTGTACTTGTAAATAATATTACATATACATGAAAGTAAAGCGCATTGCACGAGCGATCGGTCGCCGGGAGCGAGAGTATTGATTGCAGTCGGGCTAACTGCGCCCGGCGCGCTCTCGCTGATGTCTTCTGTGTGGTGTGCCGCTGCCGCGTGTGTGCGACTGCGGCAGGTCAGTGACTCAGTGCACCGCCGTCGCCGCCGCAGCCGCCGACTGCTGCTTGCAAATTCAATAGTTAACAGTCGTGTTCAGTTCGATTCCCGGCACCAACATCACACATAAGAAGCTAACCATAATCTTCACAAAGATGGTCGAATTGAATTAATGCCGCGTGCGATATATTAGCCTCCCGCTAATCTTTGTCTCAATTTGCAGGATAATTTTATTAAGTGTAGTGTAGTGCAAAAATGAGTAAGGATCAGGGCCGCAGCGGCGGCGGCGGCGGCATGGCGGGTGCAGCGCGCATGTCCCGGCCATCCCGGCCATCCCGGCTTTTTGTAGGCCGAGCCCGCGGGTCCGGTGCCCGGCAGGACCTCGCGCACCGCGACGATTCATTCACCTTCTTATACTACTGCACTGATATGACACATTTGATTAACAAATAAAAAGAAAAGAATGCAAGTCTTTTGCTGATTCAGTTTTCAATGTGTTTATAATTTGCGTTTTAAGCCGTCACGTTACTTCTCAACTGTCGAAACAATCACTTGTTGCTTGTTTAATAGTTTATTTATAAATAAATGATTCGGTCATATCCTAAAACAATATGTTCAGTACTATTTTAACAAGTCGAGCCATTCAAATTGGAAACAGTTATTTTCCCTACAAGTATCAAAATTGCTTCAATAACTTTTGAACGATACAATGTGGCTAAACACCATCCAATAAAGAAAACATGCGCCCCCGCACGTGCGAACCAGCACTCCATCATCTTGTCAATGATAAAGACAACGGGAATATATCATGCTCGCGGTAATTTTAATAAATTTGTTTCATGTCTTATCGTTAACTTAATAGGTAGCACTTTATACCGGTTAGTCATATCAAGTATTACCAATTATCTTAAGTGAGCAAAATATTTCGTGCTCCTAGTTAATGGTGTCATTGATGTTGTGGACTTGTTAGTAAAGGAGTAAGCCTCTGTTAGCACATGACAGAACATCAGCGTGTGTAGTTGTTCGGTTTCAGCTAAAGATTATAATCCGTAGGATTACGGCTACGGTGTAAACAGAATGCAAATAAATGTTACTGCAGTATTTAAAATAACTGGACATAAATGTGAAACGCCGTTAAATTCTACGATTTTCATAGCTCGTTAAAATCTGTGACGTGGCACGCAAACATTCTTGAAAATCTCATAGATAAGTGTAACGATTTTGTTCACAGCATCAAGTACCGTTATTGGCTTTATTTAGAGTCAGCTGTGAAGGTCAAAGGTTATTTTGTTTGGTTTGGTTAGGTTGTTTGGTAGAATTTGTAAGGTCACAAACTTGCAGGGACATATGTAAGATGAGTCATGGTGAAACGAGGTACAGGAGCGGAGCGCTACGTTGCAGGCGGGGAGCTGTTTTCGCAGCGGTTTGAGGGGTACACTCTGCACGTGACGGCGCTCTTGGAGCAGGTGGTGGTGTCGTGGGCGCGGCCGGGCCAGCAGCAGCGCGAGGTG